CATCCATGGGGGAATGAGACCAGGGTCTACCCTTCATTTCCACCATCAAATCCATCCATCACCTGTCCCCGCTTTGACCAACACTTTCTCAGGTTGTGGCTTCTGTTGTCTCTTGTGCTCCCAGAAAGTCTGATGGGTTCTCTAAGTATAAGATCATGTTGTCCGCAGAGAGGGAGAGTTTGACCTCCTCTGCTTCCATTTGGATGCCCTTTATTTCCTTCTCTTTCCTGATTGTATTGGCTAGAATTTCCAGCACTATGTTGAATACTAATGGCAACAGAGGACAACCTTGTCTGGTTCTAGTTCTAAGTGGAAAAGCTTTCAGTTTTACTCCATTCAGTAAAATATTAGCTGTGAGTTTGTCACAGATAGCTTCCATCATTTTAAAATTGTGCCACCAATACCTCAGTGTTCTAATTAGAAAAGGATGCTGGATTTTATCAAATGCTTTTTCTGCATCTATTGAGAGGATCATATGGTCTTTGTTTTTGTTTCTGTTGATACAGTGAATAACCTTTGTGGACCTGCGTATGTTAAACCAGAGTTGCATCCCTGGGAGGAAACATAGTTGATCATGATGTATGACTGTTTAAATGATAAGCCATAATCTATTGGCTAGGATTTTGTTCAGAATTTTTGCATCTGTATTCATTAGTGAAATTGGTCTACAGTTCTCCTTTTGTGTTGGGTCTTTTCCTAGTAGTAGGAAAAGTAGTAGTAGTTTTGATATCAGGGTGATGTTTGCTTCATTGAATGTGTTGGAGAAGATTCCTTCCTCCTCAATTTTTTGGAATAATTTCTGCAGTGTGGGAATAAGCTCTTCTTTGAACGTTTGATAGAATTCTGGCGTGATGCCATCCGGACCAGGGCATTTTTTTTGTTCGGATATTTTGTATTGTTTCGTTGATCTCAGTACTTGAAATTGATCTGTTCAGGAGATCTATTTCTTCCTGACTAAGTCTAGGGAGAAGGTGGGATTCCAAATATTGATCCATTTCCTTCACATTGTTAAATTTCTGAGCATAGAGTTTCTGGTAGTATTCAGAGATGATCTCTTGTGTCTCTGTGGTATCAGTTGTAATTTCCTCTTTATTATTTCTGATTGAGGTTACTAGAGATTTTATTTTCTATTTCTAGTTAATCTAGCCAAAGATTTATCTATCTCATTTAATTTTTCAAAAAACCAACTCCTTGTTTCGTTAATTTTCTGAATGATTCTTTTGTTTTCAATTTCATTAATCTCTGTTTTAATTTTGGATTTCTTTTCTTCTGCTGGGTTTAGACTTAAATTGTTCTTCTTATTCCAATTCAATGAGATGGCTTGTGAGTTTGTTTATGTGCTCTCTTTCCATTTTTTGAATGTAGGCATCTAAAGTAATAAATTTTCCTCTCAGGACTGCTTTTGCTGTATCCCAGAGGTTTGGTAACTTATGACTTCATTGCTGTTATGCTCAAGGCATTTGAGTTCAGTGGTGGTGGCTATAACATATTTTGATACCAGCAGAATCTGGGGAGTCCTCCCCAGTATCTCCTGAGATTCAAGTCAGACTCAGATAAACACCAGGGCTCTGGAGTTCTCAGCCACTCCTCTGGATCCAAAGAGTCTCAGCCAATGCAGGGATCCTGCATATCTCTGGGCTGCAGACGGAGGATGAGGCTGCCTATTATTGTAGTATATGGCATAGCAGCTCCAAGATATACACAGTGCTGCAGACCTGTGGGGGAATGAGGCAAAAATCTCCCTCTACTATCCTCACCTAGGTCGGTAAGCCCTGTTGGTAATTTTGAGGAGGACCAGCTCAGAGGTGACTTATGTTATGTGATCTTCAAACATCTGATTTTTCTTGAAAATGTAGATCTGACAGTGTCATATTATGTTCTTCAGTTGAACTTTTAGATTGATTTATCACTCACATCTTCCCACCTGATTCATGTTTTGTAGCAGAAATTCTCATTGAACATAAAATCTCTCATTGGGGACTTTGGAGGAGACCAAGGGAGGTTCGCCTGGGCTATGACCAGCTCAGGGTGGAAAGTCTAAGGACAGATGTCAGTGGTGTCACAGTCCGGGGGGAATCCTATTCTGGGCCATGTGACCTGCTGGCCCAGGAGGAGGGGCAGGTGCAGGCAGCCAATTATAAGTTCAGGGCCCCAGACCAGGTGAGTCCAGGGAGGACAGCACGGTGCAGGATGTGCTGCCCTGAGGCTGATGGGCAGGGTGTGGGAGCAGCAGGCCTGGGACAGGGCACAGTAGAGTTCACACTGTATTGTCACCTACAGTGTTCATCTGAGCAGCTGTGGATTGGACTGCCCCTTCTCCCCAATAAGGGAATGTGTGACCTACAATTGGTTTGAAGAGAATCATCCAAAAGGCTCTTCAGAGCAGAGGACACCATTGTAGTGTTTAGGTTCCTGAACATATTTTAAAGTATTAGAAATGGATCTTCCATCCATAATCTCTGGACAGATAATCCAAAGACTCTTCTTACAAAATCTATGCCCTCTAATAGCTGTCATGGCCTGTCTCAGGATGTGCAGGTGTGTCCCTGCCAACGCTGGTGCTGTGGGCCAGGGGTTGTAGAAGGGGGTGTAATCATGGGGTTGTCTTCTGACTTAGGCCTCTTAAAACTTTGTAGGGCCCTGGGCACTGGCATCCTCATGCTTCAACACATATCATAGAAAGTTCCACAGAACAAGGCTTAAGAAAAGGCCAGAAAGGCAAAGAAGTAGATGTCAATTTGGATGAAGTGCCTCTGACCTTCCTCTGTGAGTAGAGCAGGAAAGAAATCTAAGGCAGCTCTGTCTTCACTTTGGGCCCTAAGGAGCAGGTTATGAGCTGTCCCATCCTGCCCTGGGTCCCCTGTTCCTCACTGTCCTGGAACATGACCCAGGTCCAGGATCCTGACTCCCTGCAGTCATCCCTCCCCAGCACTGCCCCCTTCCTGGGAACTTACCCTGTGCTCACAGATCTCTGCCCCTCTCCTGCTGGTCCAGCTGCCTGGAGGGCCCATCCCCAGGACAGAAGCTGACACCTGCCCTGGGGACATAACAGTACTGGGTAGAATGGTCAGCACTGATGACACCTCGTCAGAACTATAGACCCTTGGACACAAGCATATACTGGTCAAATCTCAGTTCATCATTTTGGCTCCAAGTCATCCTATCTCAGCACCTCAACCACAGGAGTGACTGCACCAGACTCCATCCCTGTGTCAGGCTGTGTCCCAGCAATGACATGCCGATGTGCCCATACAAGGTGCTGCATGCAGCCCATGCTCACTCAGCTGGCCCATCACCTGGAAATAATGGTCACCTCCTCCTGTCCTGTAACGAGCAGCAGAGTCAAGTGGCCAATGTGGCCTGGCTCCCTCAGCTCTCTGGAGAAGCCCTACACAGTGATGCCTGGTGGTTCCCAGTGCACAGAGCACCAGAGCCTGTCTCTTGCTTTAGGTCTAGCCAAATGGGCTCATGGAACAATGTCTGAGGAGGAGGTGGATGATCATGGTTCTGATGTGGGTGGGGCCAGAGCTAACCCAGGGCCCAAGTCTCCAGTCTGATCCCCCATCCCAGAACACAAGCCCCATCTCAACTTCAGTGACCAACATCAGACTCAGGGGACACTCCTCTATTTATTACTCATTCCAGGACCAAGGTTCCAAAGCCCTTGTCTGGATATGGAAATTTCTACCCAGCCGATCTTAACATTAAGCTATTAGGATAAAATATCTCAGCCTGGTCATGGCCACAGAGACAGGCAGGAGACATGAAAAATGGGCTTGCTTATTCCAGATCTCTGGGCATGTGGCCTGCCAGTGTGAGTGTGTCCATGTCTGGGAACAGGTACGTCATCAGCAGTGAAAGTGGTTACCACACAGCCTGGGGTGGGGAGAAGTTTTGAGTCCACAGTGGTTATGTTGTCAGCAGTGAAAGTGGTCACCATACAGCCTGGCGCGGGGATGGGTGGGGGGGAGAGTGTTAAGTTTTGTGAAGCTGCACATCCCAGCTCATGGGTCTGCCTAAGGCAGCTCCTGAGGTCTGTGGGTTCCTGTGATATCCACAAATGGAGCAGGAACATTCCCATGAACTGATGACAGGGACAAGGGACACGAACCAGTTAGGAGGAAGGTGCAGACTTTGAAATAAACTAAAGAACGTTAGACACTTGATCATGGCGAAGGAAAGCGAAGTATATTTGAGTGGAATTCGGTTTCACTTAGGACTTAGATAAATTGGAGATTGGGGGTTATAAATCACCAGTGGGTCCTTGTATAAAAACAAGATGCTGAATTCCAACCCACACGTGGCAGGGGCTAAAGAGAGAAGGTAAAAACCACTGGAAGCCGGGTGCAGGGAATTTCTACAGTTCCCAAGTACTGACATGACAGAGCCCTGCCAGGGTCACAACCCAGGGAGAAGGAAATGCATTAGATACACAAGGTTATGTTGATGTCAGAAACACCACCATTACCTGCATAAGAATAGTTGTAATTGTTTTCATCATTCATACATATGGGCGTGTGTAACACCCAGCAACACCAATTATCACAAAGGACAGGCATTTTGTAAACAGTTGTCATGTTCTGTGCTTTGAAATTGTCAAAGCATTGACTTTCTGTGGGTACTAAGAGGACAAGGCTGGATGTGGCCATAGATTGGACTATTGCTGACAAATTAGGATGCAAAAGTAAATTTTTAAAGATGCAGTGGAAATATTTGATTCGTGAAAACTGAGAAAGGAAAATTGAAGCCACAGAGCCCGGACGGAATTAAGAGAAAGGCAGAAGAAACACAGCATCAGTTCTCACACCAAATGTAAATTCACGTTTGAATTAGATGAAAAGAGACTCCCTTAGGGCAGCTCCTGTGGCTCAAGGAGTAAGGGCGCTGGCCCCATATACCGGAGGTGTGGGGTTCAAACCCTTCCTGGCCAAAAAAAAAAAAAAAAAGGCCCTGAAAAAATACCCCCTGCAAATGCAGATGCATACAAGTATGTGTTCCTGTCCTTCCTTTTCCAAAAGGGATTTTTAAGACAGTGTTTTCTGTGTTTTGTTTGTTTGTTTGTTTTTTGGCCGGGGCTGGGTTTTAACCCACCACAAAGACAGAATGATTTTAATTGTTTCATAATGTTCACATTAAATAGTTCAAACACAGACTATTTTTAAAAGATTTCTGATTATGAGACTCATGAGATCCCATTTTGCTGTATCTGGAATTGGGAGGAATCTCTTACTTTAAAGATGATATGGATGCACACGTGGCAGGTTGCAGGGAAACACACACACATATACACTCACCCGAGCGTGCCCAGGGTCCCTGCCGCTTCCCGAATGGCGGCGTGGCGGCGGCCCTGGCCGTGAGGGTCCCACTGCGCTGCGGCAGCGAGGACAGCGTGAGCTGCCACAGCACGGCCCTGCAAAGCGAAGTGATGGCGCGTTTTGCTTAAATCTCCTCCTGCTGCACCTCGGCCCCTGCCCTGCTTGGCTCCGGCCGGGGACCGAGCCGACCTGGGGCCCAGGAGAGGCGCGCGCGGGTGCACGCTCCCAGGCCAGAGCGCGGAGAGAGGCGCTGCGTCGCCTGCGCGGAAAACATGGGCTACGATAGTTCCAAGTGTCTGGCATCCAGCGGAGAAGCAAAAAGGGAAACGCCCGGCACCCGGCATGGCGCGCCCTACGAAGGCAGTGCTGCCCTCCATGCCCGCGAGCTCCGGGATCCCTAGTCGGCAGGCGCGCCTGGAGGGGTCAGAGGGAGCTGAAACAGCTCGGCCCCCGGGGACAGCCAGACTCAGCGCCTCAGCGAGCGGGGACAGTTTCCTCTGAGGCCGGGAGACCTCAGGTTTGCTGCAGCCTCATCCAACCTCCTTCCTCTCCCCTTCAGTTCAGCAACCGGGGAGAAGGTCTCAAGAGGCAGGTGCTGGCGGCACAGCTTCACCCCTCTTCCCAAATCCCAGCTGCCTGGGGGTTCCCAGGAAAGAATTAGACCGATCGGGTGCTGCCATATTTGGGTTTATATCCATTGCTGCGCTGGGCGTTCCGGTGGCCCGCTAGGACACTCCTCCTCCTCCAGGGCCACCTCCGCTCCTCCCCCACCCCCCTCGGCTTCTGGCAAATGAGAAAGTCAGGGAGGAGAACCCAAACACTCCAGCAGCAGAGAGCCCCCTTTGGTCCTTGGCAGCACTTGGCAGCGGGCTTCTGGCTCAATTCCGTGGAGCTTCCGTGAAGCAACTTTCGGGGCAGCTGTGCATTTAATAGAGCAAGGACAGCTGAGGGGGAGAGCTCGGCCGGGCAGCGGCTGTCGGCGGGCAGTTCCAGAGCAAACCCGAGGGTAGAGGAAAGAACAAAGAAAAGTTAAAGGCAAACGGCCACTTCCGATGGGGGCAATGCCAAGATGTTACAGTGTCCTGAGAGGATTTTCCCCGAGTGCTTGGCCGGATAGTCCAGGGTGGCCCTGGGCTGGTCCCCCGAACTCTCCTCCCGAGCCAGAACGACTCTAAGCCGGGAAGTGGGGCGCAGTGAGCACCGGCTGGACGTGCAGGTCCCCCGGGAGAGCTAACTTTGACTCCATCGTGGGGAGGATGAGTGCCTGGAGGGCGCAGCCGCAGCAGGACGAGAGCGTGTCCCAGCCGGTGGATCCGGTCAAGCGGCCCATGTCGCCTTCACGGTGTTGAAAAAGAGGCACTTCCACTGGCAGAGATCTCACAGAGCACCAAGGCTTGTAGGAAAGGTTTTATTGGTGGGGGAGGGAGGCTGCGGAGCAGCACCAAGGAGAGAAAAGAGAAGATGGGAGAGAGATGAGAGAGTGGAGAGAGAGCGAGCAGAGGAGAAAGGCGGGGAGGGGGGGAGAGAGACAGAGAGAGAGGGAGGAGAAAGGAACCCTTATATAGGGACGTCTTAGAATGGTGCCGGTATGGTGGGATAACCAGTAAGGAGTTATTGCTCCGGTGGAAAGAGTCGTTAGGGGCCGGCAGCCGGTAATTGCAACAGAGTGATGAGGTCAGCCACTCCCTGTGCTTGGGGAGGAGTTGTAACTTTAAGGGCAGGAAGGGGCTTTTGGGGCGAAGGGGCTTTCTGAGGCAATTATCTAACAAGTGTGGTCGCAGGCTCAGCAGCGCAAGA